AAAGAAAAAGACTCGCTAAAGCGTAAGACTAGGTACTGAGGAACTGGGACTCTTTTCTGTCCCTCTCCTTAACACACATTGAAAGTCACTGCTACTAAATTTTTTAAAGGAATCATTGCTCTTAGGTGCCTTCCAAGTTTAACTTTCCAGCTTAAGATATCCAAGATGTGACTTTCAGAATTGCTGTGCACTAACTAAAAAAAAATAAAAATCTCATTTTCCCCTCTAGTCCCACCTTGGAATTACTCCTCATTAGTCTCGCATGGATTTTCACCAGCATCTTCTGTGCCACAATCCTGTTTACTGCTCCCACCCAACACTTTCTTATATTGGCAATATGACCTGAAATCTCAGCAGAGCCTGCTCTCCCCTGATCCAAATTGCCAGCAGGTCTCAAAAGTTTTTTCTAGCATCTTCCTGTTTCAGAATATGTCCTAATGCTGCTGGCAACAGAACAAGTGAGACTTGGAACTTCCCTTGAGTGCTAATCACAACTTACAGTTGCCTCATTGCAACTTCTCTCACTTCTCTTACATCCCATTTTAATTCCACTGTGTAAAACCTTAGCATGCCTTTCTGTTTCCTTCTGCGGAGGCACACATGCACACTTATGCAAAGCCTTATGTCAAAAGAGACTACAAAGTTAATGCTCAGTTAGGCTATGTGGGAATTAGCATTGCTTCTGCAGCTGTAATTTGCCCCCTTTGGTGTTTCTGTATTGTGGTTCAATTTTTAATTATGTGATTCCATGTTATTTTTCTGTAAGACTTCTTCCATCCATCACCAGTGTATACTGTGCCCCACGGATGAAGCAAGGTGAGGTATTGAAAGAAGCTGTTGTAGAAACTGGAAGGTGCATAGAGAACAAAGAGACCATTGGAAGAAGAATGTTCTACAAGTTAAAGTTGAATGCTACACAGGAGAACTAAATTCCATCCTTTTCTTTGCCAAATAATTCCTGTGTGATTCTAGAAAAGCCATGTACAGCTGCAAACTGAAGTCAGTGGTTTAGATTTTAATGGTAATGTGATCTATAAAATTAAGTGCTTTATAAAAAGTCTAATCCCAGACATCTCAGCTTGGACACCAAAACAACCTTACCTTAACCTTAGTCTTTCTGTGTCTCAAGTTTTCATTTAGAAAATGCAGAGAATAGCTGTCCCTTACGTCAGCCAGCAATATGAAAATAAGTTGAGTTTGGTTTTTGGGGGTTTTGTTTTGGTTGGGTTTTTTGTTTGTTTGTTTTTTAAGTCTTTTACTGTAGTGGTGATGTCATAAAACAACTGAATAAATTTTAGTAATTTTCTCCTCTGAGCAAAGCTCAAATAGCATGAAGTGATAGGATGCAGATCTGCCATCGAGTAATGAGGGTATAACAAAATACTAAAGTCACATGCTTAATGAGTACTGCTCACCCTCTGTGAAAAAATAGTATGTGTTCACATTGTTACAGACTGTATAATACTGCATGTACAGAAAGAATATTGCAATTGTATGAAAATCCTGAAATCCGTTCTTCCAAAATAAGTGCTTGATTTAAAGTATAAAAATGGTCTTTATGTGGTGAAGGAGGTAGAGGAAAACAGAGGGTTATACTTGAGTCTTTGACTTAGTTTTTAACAAAGCATTCTGGAAAAAAGAAAAGGAATCCAAATTTCACCATGTGGTATCACAAGGCTCATCAGCAGAGTTGCTATAATTAGATCCACAGCACAGTCCTCTGCCACTTGTGCTACTGAAGTGTTTGGTAACAGTAGTAGTAGACAGCTTTTACGGTAACTGACCCTATGGAGGAAGCAGGGTAAGCACTATACTACTTACGTTTTAGTCAGGCTTAACTCCAACCTGTTGCGAGGGCTTGATGAGAGCAGAGCAGAGACTCTTTTCTGGTATCTGACTCTACCCTAACCAGGAGCTGTAACTTCAGGTAGTATCTTATTTAATCTCGCAGCCCAGCAAGGTGATATGCTTGCTCTGGAGGGCTGGCTCCTGCACAGTCCAGTCGTGCATTGGGGCTGGCTCACAGCCTCACCAAAAATAGCTTTTGCTTATCTCAGAGAGCTGTTCAATCTCTATAGAGTGTGTTCAAGAGAAGATTCCCAGATTTACATAGATTTTTATGAAATAGGAAAGTCACCTAACACAGGCAAGCCTTGCCTTATTTCAAGCTGTTGTGCCAAGTCAGACGCATAGGAGAAATAATTGTATTTGTGCTTAACACAACGGTTCTTCCTAATCTTGATGAGAAGTAGCTGAAATACTTTAGCTGAAGCTTTCAGACAAAATCCAGCTGGAGACAAAGATTTGGCTTTGAAAACTTCAACCTAGATAGCCAAGATATAACAAAGCTGAAAAGCAGAAGACAGAAAGGTATACTGAGTGTGCTTACAAGTGATGGGTGCCACCTGCAATGAGTTATTGCTATCAGAATTTTGCTGCTGAAATTATAGGGAACAACCCTTGTTTTCAAAGCTTCTGGCTCAGAAGGAAGACTCCACTTCTGCTGCAGCCCTTTGTAGAATTAATTCTGAGTTTCTAGGCACTTTTCCTAGTTTAAAAAAAAGGCTGGTGTGTTGGACTGAGATGCCTGACAAGACTTACATTTCTTTAAGCATTTACTGGAGCACTAGTTCTCTTCTAAATGATGCTCCACTGTCCTTGTATTGCTTCCCTCCTCCTAGCTGTAATCACTCTAAGCTTATCAACAGACCTCTCTTAAATGGTCAAATGGGTGGTGTTCGTGGGCTGGATGGAGAGATGCATCCATTTAAAACTTAACTGCACTCTTGTGAGGGTGTTAACAAGTATCTAGCTGCTAAGAAACCCTGATACCGTGCAGTTACCGTTAAAACTGAAGATCTGCGTTAGATAAAGGCATTATGAAAGCTTTGTAAAGGGTGGAGGTTTTGTGGTTAGAAAATTGAAATTTGTTGCTTGCTGCATGTTCGCTTTAGAGCACACTCTGCCACCTCCAATTCTGCAGCCTGTCTGGACCTCTAGGGCTGCCTGTGACCCATCTTTCCTTACGTCTTGCTGTGGGCTCTAGTGTTTAGTGCCTCAAACACTTCTGTTGTAGAAGAATTTCAGCTTTGATGCCCCAAATGCTGAATCCAGAAGTTCCATCTGATGCAATGAGAAAGTAAGCAGTGACCTGTCCCAGCCCAGCCTGCTAGGGAAGCAAGACTAAATAAAAGAAGATGAGTGAGAGCCCGGTGGGAGGAACAAGTCAGAGAAAGCAAACAGTTTGCTGCCTTTAGCTTGCTGGTAGTTTTCATCAGAGCTGGCTGAGGAGGGGGAGGTGGAGAACTGCCTCTGTGAAGAGAAGGAAGTGACAGCGTAGTCATTAGCAGACTGCGACCCTCTGTCACAGGGGCTCCTGAAATAAACGATGATTGTATTGAAGCATGAGGCTGGATAGAGACCTCTGTGCTAATTTAATAAATTGCTTGCATTTAGGACCCCAGATTGTTGCTGTTACATTTTTGCTATGTGATGCCACCTGGGATTAACAAGGAGGAGGGGATGGGGGGGGAGAGGAAGAAAGCAGCCCAGGTCCGTTAGCAACCGCTGGTGTGACCTCACTCCTTGTCCCAGGGGGGATATGAGATCATGAGAATGCCAGAGCTCTCTGAAGGATTCGATTTGTTCGGTACAGCAGGATGGCCTGCCGAGTGATCTCATCTCCGAGACCCTAGGGAAGGGCGCTAGCTGCTGCTAGCCTCGTGGACTGCGGAGAACTTAATCCCCACTCCAAATCTCACCAATTAATGATTGACCTGTGATGACATCACTGATGACAAAGCTAACTGGGACAACACAGCAAAACTCCAGGGCAATTTCCCCTTCTCCATGATCTTATCGAATAAAAGAATTTTGACATGTCAAAAACAAATCTTTCAGTCCAGATAATGTCATTGCAGATTAAGCATAGTTCTGGGCTCACAGCTTGCCCTGACCTACTGCCCTGTCACCAGTTCTCCCTTTTAAACAGCGTGGGGCAGAACATAAACAGGTCCTCATTAAAACTGGGGGGGCCTTAAATTAGATAGCCTTATTTAGCCAGCTTCTTAGCCCTAGTCTTAGGTGCTTTAAAATAGAATTTATGTGGTAAGAAAAATCCATTTCAGTTGTTGCACCTCATGGTTGTAGTAAGCCAGGAGGGAGTTTGTTACCTTGCAGGTGTCCTTCAAGGAAGGAAAGCTTTCTAATTGGACTAAACACCGGAACGGCAAGGACGGCTTTGGTGAAGGTTTACAAAGGATGTTGCCCATTCTTTAAATCTCTTTTGAGAGGGAAGCATTTCAACCAGCATGCTTCTGCCCTCCCCTCCTTTTCTTCCTTAAGGGTCTCAGGAAGATTTGGTATCTGAGTTTAAAATGCCTTCAGGGTTTTTTTCCAGAGCCAGTCTTTTTATCTGTGTACTGTACAAGGTCCAACACACACCTGGGTGGAAGGGGAAGGATGCTAGCAAATAAGTAATTAATTTGATTCTTTGGGATGATCTAGAAAGTTGTCAGGAAGACCGATGTCACCTTACATTTAAATCTCTGTACCTTCAGAAGGGGGTATAGGATCAAAGAGACTTACCTTGCATTCCTTTTCTCATTATTAATAGTATCTACAATTTACATCATATTCATCCCTGTAAGTCTTAACCTCTGCTGCTAGCGTTCTGTAGCATTGCACAGATATGCAATAAGGTGTATATCCATAACCTGCCCTAAAAGTTTAAGATTCAAAAGTGTAGAATAGCTAGATAAACGACAGAGCAAGAGGAACACTAAGAAACAATGAAGTGATAGTTATCCTTTCTAGGCACCGAGTTAAATGGCTGCAAAGAAAGCTGCATCTCATGAATACTGGTCGATGTACCATTTAACAGAGTGCCTAGGTGGAAAGCAAACACAAGTCCTATAAGCTTCAAGCCCTGCACCTGTTAAGTGCTCTTCTTTTGACTTCCTGATAGTAATCATGTATCACTTGTTTGTTTGTTTTTACAGGGAAAGTTTTATCTGGTTATTGAGGAGCTGAGCCAGCTGTTCCGCTCCCTTGTCCCTATCCAGCTATGGTATAAATACATCATGGGAGATGATCCATCCAGCAGCTACTTCCTAGGTGGGATCCTGATCATCCTGTATAGCCTCTGCAAGGCAAGTACCACCACATTAATAACCACTCTGGGAGCTGTAACAAGAGCAGGGAAAGAAGCACAGCTGAGGGGAACAAATACACCTTTTAATTGTTACTATCACTACCCAGGAAGGGAAGCTGCAGCAGCTGGGGACACCATGTGCTTTAGTTGCCAAAAGCATTTTGCTTCACCAGTATGTGGGCATTGGTGAGCTCGAGGAAGATCTGTGACTGCTCATGTAGTGTTGCATCAGGCTGATGAAGTCATTGCTGCTTTCTAATACCTTTCTATAAAGGCTAGAGGAGAATGGGAGGGGAATCTTGGGGAACTAGTACTGGAAGAGAAGTTAGCTGTCTCCAGGCTTCTAAATGCAACACTGAAAGGAAGGTTGTAGTTAGAGGTTTCTCTCTAAGCCTTCCTCTGTCTTTCAAGGCAGGGTAGGTACTCTGTCACTCATAGTACTGAATGCAGCAGGGAGAAAGAGGGTCACCCAAGTCCTGCCTAGATAAAACAGGTAGTTCTGGCCCCATTCTAGGTCCTGGTCTGGCTGATACAAGTCCAGGATCTCAGTGATAGACAAGAGTAATTAATGTTTCCTCAAAAATAAGAATGTTAAGAGCACAAAGTCTGCCTGTACAATTGTAAATGAATAGGTGCAACTTATTTAGAAGAGTCCCAAGTCTGAGGTATAGAAATAGTTGTATTTCTAATTGTTTGTATTGAACCCTGCCTAGGGACAGAGCAGTAGCTGAAGCAAACAATGATACACCCCTGTTTTCCATCCCTCTGAGAAAGGCCAAGTGAGTCAAGCTTGCTGCAGCCCTGATGCTTGTCTCTGCCTAGGAGAAAGGGGCTACAGCTTTGCAGAAGCAGACTGAAGAACAGAGAAGACAGAATATATCTGAGCTGAACACAGCTCAAAGGGGCTAATGGATTGCTGAGCAATACGAAATCATACTATAGCTCTTACGTGAGATGTGGCTGCAGTTGCAGCTATATGTTGTATAGGAATGGGGCAATTCAACCCCTGCTGTCAAGGGATTTACAGTTTTTGTAGGCAAGATAGGCAGAGGAAGTCATGGGAAGTGAAGTGACTTGGTCACGGCAGGTCTGTGATCAAGCCAGAAACAGAGCAAACAGTGCCAGAATAGAAGACGCATAAGACTAGTGTAGTTCCCTGCACACCCATCCATTCTCCCAGCTCCGTTTCCTGCTCTTGACTCTGTGCTGTGGGAAAGGATTGTTGTCCCTGTCAGAGATATCATTGTCTGGATCCGCTCTAGACAACAGTATCCAACCCTTCCATGCCCTTCTGGCTTGTGAGGTCAGATCACAATTACAAGGACAGATTTCACATGAACTTTGTGGTGTCCCTTGTTGCAAGAGTTACTCAACACCTGGAGAAGGGATGCTTACCTGCAGTTCTACATGCCATTTCTTACATTTGGAGAAGTCATTATAGCTTGAGGAAGCAGTGGGAGCCACCTACTCCTTGGAGAAAGGGGAGCCAAGCACAAAAACACAGCTGACAGGGCAAGGGCCTCACCAGCCAGGGCCCAGCCCCACAGCACCCAAACAAGACAAGCAGGGCAGCCCTGGAGATGATAGCCAGGTTCAAAGAGTCAAGATCTTCAGGTGGTGAGGAAGGTCCAAGATAAAGCCAGAATATAAATCCACAGGTCAGGATCAGGTCTGGTGAAGGCAGCCAAGGTCAGACACAGTCCAACAATTGCAGGGCATAGTCATAGTGATGAGACAGGCTCAAGGTCAGGGTGGGAAGTCACTCTATGTGCTGGGGTGTCCAGATCAGCGGGATTTATAGCTAGGCACAGGTGTGGCTACAGCTGAGCTAGAAACTAGCATTTGCACAGCACAGCTCAAACATGAACTAGGGCCCCCAGGGCTGAGCTTAAATAGAGCTCCTGGGCCCACAGGCAGGGATTGTGGGTGGAGACCCCAGGTGAGGCTGCTCAGGGCCATGAAGGCCTATTAATGCACTCAGGGCCCTAACATATAGGTGCAAGCAGTTCTTTATGGGCTAGCTTGATGTTTCTCTACTATGAGGCCTTTATAGGTGGTGTTGTGATAATCTAGATTGGAAAGGCAACCTTATTTTGAAAAGTTCTGCCGATCTGTTATTTAGAAGCTCCATGAGGAGAGAAGGACTGCTATTTACTGGCCTTGACTATAACTTAGGATGAGGACTGTGGGGTACAGCTTGTGTGAAAGTGCCTTGGCTACAACCTATGCCTTTAACATGCATGTTTCTTCCTTTAATTCATATAGTTCGCTAGAGGTGTAAATGGATGGGTAGGCCACCTGAAGGTTGATAGGTCCAGGAACATGTCCCAGGTCATTGTGTGGCAACTACTTAGTACCACAGATCTGTCCAGGTTAGGATTAGACCTCTGCACGCTAGAGACTTTGCTTGGAAGTGAAAGAAAAGTGGGAGCACACTCTTCCAATACAGATCATGAAATACTAGGTGTGTGCATCCTACTTACAATCACAAGAGTTGCAGGTCTAATTCCTTGCCTGAGACACTGAAAATATACCCAAAGGAGTCCACATTAGCAAAGCCACAAACCACATTAGAAAAACCACAGAAGCCAATTTGGCACTCAGACCTTCTGTGCTCCTGGCAAAAATCCAGGGCTCAGCTAGGG